ATAGAAATAAGAAAATCTCTTATTAATAAAATAAAAGACAAAAAGATCAATCTAAATGTTTTGAAATTTCTTGTTCAACTGACAGCCATAGATAAAAATTTCATATAATGTGGTTCGAATTCACTTAATATATTAGTAGAAGTGAAGGCAGATTTGACAAATCAATCTTTCGAAAGAATAAGGATCAAGAATACTTCTCTTATTGGAGGAAACTTCGCTAGGTGTAATTTAAATAAATCTAAATGGAAAAATGTTGATATTAGTGGAATTAATCTAAATGGAGCTTTATTGCTGAATTGTAAGTGGAAGAACATTAAAATACTTGAGTTGAATAAATTAGATGGTCATAGTAGATGTGTACAATCAGTATGCTTCTCCCCAGATGGAACTACTTTGGCATCTAGTAGTGATGATAACTCAATCAGATTATGGGATGCTAAAACTGGAAAATAAAAAGCCAAATTAGAAGGTCATAGCGATTCTGTTCTATCAGTATGCTTCTCACCTGATGGAACTACTTTAGCATCTGGTAGTGCTGATTACTGAATCAGATTATGGGATGTTATAACAGGATAATAAAAAGCCAAATTAAATGGTCATAGTGGGACTGTATGGTCAGTATGTTTTTCACCAGATGGAACGGAACTACTTTAGCATCTGGTAGTGCTGATTACTCAATCAGATTATGGGATGTTAAAAACAGGATAATAAAAATCCAAATTAGATGGTCATACACAATATATACAATCAGTATGCTTCTCATCAGATGGAACTACTTTAGCATCAGGTAGTGGGGATAACTCAATCAGAGTATGGGATGTTAAGACTGGATAATCAATTTAACCTTCAGATTCTAAATTTAAAGATCTATTAGCCAAATTCAAATTACCCATAAATTAGCATAATCTACTAGAAGAAAGTATATTTTTTATCCTATATTAGTTACTCCTTATAAAAACATCCTCCTTATTTCCCAATCTGCAATATTTTAAGCAAAAGGAGCTTTGATTCTAAAAGGATAATTTTTCAACCAA